AGAGACGGACGGGAAGGCAGGGACGGGAAGGCAGGGACGGGAAGGCAGGGACGGGAAGGCAGGGAGAGAAGACCGACAAGAAGCCACAAAAAACAAAAGCGGAGAAACGGGGCGAGGGGCGTAGGGAGGGCCGCCAAGACAAAGAAAAGAGCCTGAACGCGTTTCTCTTTGGCTAACTTGGGGGTGGGGCAGTCCAGGCTACCACAGCTAGCTTCCCTGTCCCCAGTTCTGCTCCGCACAAGGCCTCCTCAGAGTTCTCTGCGGGAATGTGTGTGTCTTCCACTGCAACCAAGGATGGAACCTTGGAGACAGGCACTTAGCAAAGGCTCACGTGAATGGGAATGAATGAAGCTAGCTAACGGGGGGGCAGCTGGGCAATGGGCGGGACTCGAGGGGAGATGGGCGGGGCTGGAGCAGTGCGGCGGGGACCCGCTGGAGACCGCCAGTGGCCCGGGGCAAGGGGCGGCGCGGGGTGGGTTTCCGGGTCTCACCCGTGTCGTGCATGTCAAGGTCCTGACCCAGCGCAGCCGCCTTCATCCGAGCCGTGGCTGCTCGGAGATGCAGCCGCCGCCGCCGCGTTGGGACATCGGGTCCCGAGGTATCCAACTCCGGGTTGCGGAGCTGCTCGTTCAAAGAGCCCACGACCACAGGCGACAGATACCTGGGAACACGACACCCCCGAAGGGTCCCGCTGCCGCCTTCCCTCCTTCCCCGGCCCGCTCCCGCCGCCGCCGCCGCCGGAGCCTCACCGGCCTCTCCCAACGCCGGTCCAGCAGGGTGCCGCCTCCTGGGAGAGGTCTGCGGCCATGCGGGAGTCCCCGCACACCGTCACCGGCAATCCGGCCCAGAAGCCCCGCACTCGGCCGAGCCTCTCGCGGAGCTCCCCTACCTGTGCGACAGGAAACGAAGCTGCAGCGTGCCGGGCGAGCGAGCCCGCGAGCGGCTGTCGAGCCACACCCACCCGCCCGCAGCCCCTCCACACACCAGGCGGTGCAGATTGGTGCCCGCCGCCGTCGTGGGCCGCTCTTCCTCGGCGGCCACCCTCCAGGGCCGGCTTGCCTCTTCCCGGGGAGCTGGAGCTCGACGGTTACGGGATTGCACCGGATGCGGGGTCCCGCACTCCTGAAACACCTGGGCGTAGGAAAAGACCTCAGCACAGCCCCCGCGAGGCAAGCCACACCCGAGTCCGACGGCTCCCGTCCGCGCCATTGTTTCCCACACCCGCTTAAGCCACGCCTCACCTTCTCACCCGTCCCTGTCCATACCTTGGCCGACACCTTTACACTGTTTTCCTGCAGGTGCATCAACCCTTCTGAGATCTTCACCCCGATGGACTCGGCAGCCAGCTCAAAGGAAAACGGCCCCTGGACTTTCTCGGCCAACAGCAGGAGACCATCTTGAGGGGGTGGGGGAGACAGTGGAGGGTATGCACTGAACTAGGGTAGCCCCACACATCTCTCCAGGGCCTTACAAATAAACAGCAGTTTGCTTGCTTGGGGCGGTGTGTGTGATCACTTGAGAAAAGCCCTCCCTCCCATCCCTCCTCCCGGTTTGGGTCTGGCCCCCAACCTTACTCAGGGCCCTCTTTCTTCAACAGGGCTTTCTTGAGCCCCCTCACCCAGATATCCGCCCCATTCCGGCTCCAGTCCCCTGCTGCTGAGGCAGCCATGGGCCACATTGAGGCAGAAGCCCCGGCAGGGCATCAGCGAGGGGACTCCCCGACAAAGCGGGCAGCCGATCAGCCGCATCAGGGCCTGTCTGCAGCCTTCCAACACCGGCACCTGGGGGTAGACAATGGGTCTGGGTATCCATGAACTCCTAGGCTGCTCTCAGCAAGCGTGCTGCTGGGCACAGAGGGGTGAGCCACCTGACCCACCTCCCCGGGCTATCTGCAGGAAGCTGGATGTGAGCAGCCATGGCTGGCTGCTGACCCCGTGTGGCACTGCTGACCCCCCTTGGCTGGGCTGCATGGGGAGCACCCAGAGGCAAGGTTGCTGAATCTACCTCACGAGAGGTGTGGGACCAGGGAGTTACCAGGGAGGAGGGGGTAAGGAGAGGCTCAGGGCCAAGACTGAGCCCGAGAAAACTGAGGAGAGAGGAAGGAGGCAGGAGGCTGGTGACAGGGGAGGAGGGAGCGGCCGCTGAGGGGCTCGCTGCAATCTTAAACTGCTATGGAAATGAACAAGCCCCCCCCCCACACTGGCAGAAGGCACGTGAGTCACCAGAGGGGAGGGTCAGAAGTCACAGGAGACCCTTCAGACACCCCTGGAGGCCTGACTCTGGCCTTCCTTCTGATATACCCTAGACACCAGAGCCCAGGAGCAGATAAGGGACAGCTCCTGGCCTCTCCCACCAGCCGGTGCCCGTCCTCTTCACAGCCTAGGCTCTGTGCACACGCAGGTCCCCTCTAACCTTAAGGGCTTCACTGACCACATTTCTCCCAGTCTCCAGACCCTGGACCAAGGCCCGAGCTGCCACCAGTGCCCGGGTTATCTGGGGAGAGAGAGGGTGAGCGGGAAAGACACACAATCATTATGAGTTTGTGAAGAGCTGAGGCAGCAGGAGGTTGCGTTTGTGGGTTAATTTGGGGTGGGTACACTGTGGGGTGACACAGGAGGGAGGTTCCCAAGGGAGCTGCAGTCTAGGAGGGCTGGGCGTTTGGAAAGAGCTGGCAGGGCTGTGTTGGACAAGGTTTGACAGAGTGTGCATCAGAACACTGAAGTTAAGTCGGAAGACTGGGCTGTGGAGTGTAGCACTACCACTTCTTGGCAAGGGACCTGCTTGGGAGCCCCATTTTCTCCTTTGTAAAGTAAGGGTGCGCTTATTTACCTTCAACAACATGATGGGGATTCAATGTAACGTACTGTAAGTGGAAACGATTCCCAGCTATGGACTGCCCAACTCACGTTTGGTGGAACCGCAGGAAGTCACCGTGTGGGGGCCAAGTGTGGCGCCAAGTGTGTATACAAAACAGGGCAAAGAGTGAGGGTGGGCATGGGTTACAGGAGATCGAGGGACACCGGTCAGGCACAGGTGACCAGGTCAGAGCAGGGCTGAGGGGCCGGCATGAGGTCAGAGGGGACAGAAGGGGGAGACTGCCGTGGGGAGGACGCTAGGTCAGGGCTGCCGAGGCGCAGGCCGTGGGGGCCCTCACCTGCAGGCGGAGGCGGCGGGGTGAGTCCCCAAAGGGCTGCAGGGGGCCGTCGGCGGTGGAGGCCAGCCGGGTAAGGCAGAGCAGGAAGTCGGGAGGGAAGCTGTACTGTGGGTGCAGCAAGGGGAAGGCTCTCTCCAGGAGCTGTGCCCAGAAGTCCGCCAGGGTGTCGTCCAAGCCCTCGCCAGACTTCTCATAGTAGTCCCGCAGGCCCGAGAACAGACTGTTGAAGACGGTGACGTGCTGGGAATACAGGCGACCATAGGAATGCGAGAAGAGCTGGGCCAAAGAGTGCTGGGACATGGACAGCATCTCCCGAAAAAACTCTAGCAGAGGTGGAGGGGTGAGAAGACGGGACGAGAGATGGAGAGCAGAGACGGAGGGCAGAGAGTGAGGGAAAGAGAGGCAAAGGGATTAGCAGACTGGGCGAGCCGGAGATCTGGCAGATGGGCAACGAGGAAGGGCAGGTCCTGGAGAGAAGGCGGAGTGGGAGCTGGAGCTGAGCGGGCCGGGCAGCTGGGGGAGTTCTGGGGTGGGCGGTGGCTGTCTGAAGACTGCAGGGGGCGGGGGCAGGAAGCTGGGTGGGAGTCACCCACATAAACGCGTGTGAAGAGCATCTGGAGACCCCCAAAGGTCCTCACCATTAAACTTTCTATGCCGGGCAGCCAGCGTGTGGATCAGGAAGGAGCCACTGTCCTCCACCAGGCCACGGAAGGTGACCTCAGCATCCCTGATGAGCTTCTGCTCCGTGTCACTGGAACAGCAGGTGTGCTCCTGAGGGCAGATCTGAAGGTGCTCACCTGGGCAGAGGAGACAGGGAGGGAGCGCGGACGGAGAGAAGGCTTACTACGATTCCCCCATCTCCCCATGCCCCTGGGGGCTGCTCTGCCTCTTGCACCTGCCCGGGCTGGTCGCTTTCTCCTTTGTCTGCCCCTTCAGACCTACCTGAGCCCTCCCTTATTGTCCCTCACCCACGCCGAGCGCACCCTTGTTTGCCATAGCATCATCTATCTTCTTGACAACTGCCCGGCCAAATTAGTGACCCGGGTGTCTTCAGGTGACCCTCCCCAAAACGGCACGCGCCACACCTCCAAGGATTTATGGGACATCTGCGGGATGAAGGATGGGGTTTGCAGAGGTGGGGCTACTTGGTGACCGAGAAAGTATTACCATAGAAGAAGCTCATGAGAAAATGCAAGGGAATTCCTGCCTGCTAAGAAGGACTAACTGCAGAGACGGGGATTCCTCGATGGGGATTGAGGGAGGGCTATTCTGTGAGCAGCAGGGCTATTGTGGTCCTGGGAAGGAAGTTACAGGAGGAGGAGGAGGAGGGAGAAGAAGGATGCCCAAGAGATGAAACAAGTATCATAATGGTCACCGAAAGGAAAGGGTCATTGTGAGACGGGAAGGACCCGTCCCCGCCCCTCCCACCCTGACTCCAGCCTTCCTCTTTCTTCTCACCTGAGATGAGGGAGGGGGGGATTAGGTTTAAGCTATATCCCCGGGCTCCCAGCACCTGCCGAGTCTCCGCACAACTCCGGACGACCTTTGCCTCACTCCCAGGTCCCGGACCAGGGCCGGGGCACAACGGGAGCAGCAAAAGCAGGAGAGGACGCAGCGCGGACATAGCTGCCCTCCTCCCCGGGACGGGGCAAAGTGGGTCCTGAGAAGGAAAGAAGAGCGCACAGAGCTCTGGAGTTCCGTCCTCGGCCGCGGGACGTCTCGCAGGAAAGAGAAAGAGCGTGCACCCCCGAAACCGAGCAGCCCCGGCGCCGTAGCTGGGGCAGGCGGCATCTGCGGAGACAATGGGACCAGGGAGCGGGACAGGGGGCGGGGCCCGGAGCGAGGCCCGGCCAATGAACAGGAGAAACCGGCCTCGGGGGCGGGGTCAGGGCAGAAACGAGGCCAATGTGGAAGGAGAACTCGGCAGGGGGCGGAACGCGGCCGCACGGCCGAGGTTGCTGAGGTAGGGGGAAAGCGGCCTCGGGGAGGGGCGTGGCTTTCTTGCTCGAAAGGCGGGGCTTGCGGGAAGCTGAGCCTATTGCAAAGGGGAAGCCGGGCAGAACGCTCAGCCAATGGAGGGGGACGTAGGCGCACAAGAGGCGTGGCCAGGGCGGAGCGACCCGCACGCGCTCGAGCCCACGTGACAGGCATGCACGCCTCAGGCCCGGCGGCCGCTCGAAGCCGAAGCCCGAGCGTGCGGCGGCCCGAACGTGCTTAGCACGAGCTCGCTCTCTCCCCCCCCCCGACCGCCCCCACCCCCAAGTCTCGCGACACTTCTCGGCCGCGCGAAGTACAGTTAACTCTCGCGCCCGCGCGGCGAGTGCCGTGCCTTCCCGCGCTTTTCCGGACTCACTGCCCGCCGTCTGAGGAAGAGACGAGCCGCCGCCGCGGCGGGCGTCGCAGTCGGAGGTGGGGTGTCCCGGGAGACCGGAAAGGACCCCGGAGGTGCCGACCTCTCTCCTCCCGAGCTCCAACAGCGAGGCCGCGCCCGGCCCGCCTGCCCCTGCCCCTCCTCCGCTCCAGTTGGCTCCCCGGGGTCGGCCCTCGACCCTTGCGGCGTCCCCGGCCTAACCCAAGCCCCCCCTGTAAGCGCGCCTAGCCGCCGCTCCCCCCGTGCAGTCGGGGTGATCCCCAGACGTGGGAACCTGAGGCGGCCCGTACTTTGAGCTTATTGTTTGTGTGTTTACCCGTACTGAAGTTTGGACCCCGAGCCTTTGAATGTGTCAGATAAGCCTTCTGCCCCTCAGCTAGAATCCCCAGCCCCCCCCCTCTTTCTCTCTTTCTGTTTATTTTTGAGATGAAGTCGGGCTAGATTGCCCAGCTGTCTTTGAATGTGGTGACCTTCCTGCCTCAGCCTCCCAGCTAGCTGGGGTTGCGGGCCTGCGCTGTCACCCCTCCCCCAGCCTTTTGCTGCCAGCCCTTGATGGGGTCCTGGCCTTAGTACCTCAGCGTGGTTAGGGCCAGGACCGTATCCTGGGGGAGAAAGGTGATGGCAGGGATGGAGTAGTGCGGTGGGAACACTTTCCTTTCTTTTTTTCCTGCAGCTGAATTGACATGCCTACTCTGTGGTCACCTTCCTCTCAGCTCCATGGCTCTGCCTCAGACAGTGCCTCCTCCCCACGTCAGAAGTCTGCAGGAAGTACACAGATGGCCCTGTCTCCCTGTTCCTCCACCAGCCTTCCCTGTGATGACAGGGACTCCCAGGGTACTGCAGAGGGGTGAGTGCAGTTGGTGAGACAGAGGTTGTTGCATTTGGGGGCCCTTTCTGTACCCTCAGCAGCTGTTCTCTGTTGTTTTCCCGGCTTGGCTATAGTATGTGTGGGACTGTATGAAAATATCAGAAGTGCTGTGCTGGAAGCTGGGTGTGGGGGAGCACACCTGCAACCCCAGAGCTCGGGCTGTGGAGGCAGGAGGATCAAAGATTACCGACACCTGCAGAGTGAGTTCAAGCTAGCCTGGAATGCATGAGACTGCTTTAAAACAATAAATAAAAATCAACAAAACAATAAAAAAAAAGCTGGAAGGCAGGGAAGGGAGAAATCAGGAAGGAAGAAATGCTGTACCAGTTCAGATTGGAGACTCTGCTCAACTCTGCTGTTTCTTGGCTGTCTTACATCTTATAAACATCAAAAATAGCACATCTTAATTGTAAGTTCAGAGGGCCATCCTGGGCTACATAACAAGACCCTGAAAAAAAGAATGGAGTACACATCTAGTTTTGAATTCATCTTGACACCTAACGCTGTCTTGAACATGTCACAGTGCTGAGCACGTAACAGTTGCTAGTGGGACCAGGGACAGAGAGCATGTAAATAAAGAGTGCTTTACTTGTTGGTTGAAAACCTGTAGGCGTATTTTAGTTGGTGTCTTGTGGTTCTGTTTGAGATTTTAAAAACAGATCCATGATCCTTATAGCTTTATGAATTTATTCTGTGAAGATTATAGCAACACATCTTGTTTTTGTAGTCTTTCTAGGAAAAAATAATCTTTATCCCATTTGTTTTAATTGACCATCTCTGAATCATTTCTGTTTCTGCCAGTGCTATTGTTGAGGACTAGATCATATCAGCGCTGTAAACTTGAATCACTAAGGCTATATTTCCAGAGTGAGCTATAACCCCAGGTACACGCCCATCTACTTATGTATGAGTGGTAAGTTACTCACACAAAGTAGTAGTTTGAACACGCCTGTGAATACCAGACATTCACCTGCTTCAGTTCCTCATTGTGAAAAAAAACCAACCCGTAAGTGCATTTACTTAGGTGTCTGTGGCATAGGTGCACCCACAGCATGCACATGGACTCAGGGCGACTGCCTGGGGTCCTGGGAGTGGGCCTCTGGCCTGGTGGTCAGTGCTCTTGCCTGCTGACCCTTCCCTCCTGCCTGCAGCTCCTCATTTCTCATCTCTACTGCTTTGAGGGGTCTTCTTGCCCCTTATCTTTTAAAATTCGGATGTTTTTCTCATGTAGATGTGGCACATTTAGAGATAAATAGAAACTATAGTTAACTCTGTGTGTGGAAGGAATGGGGTGGCACAAGGGGAATCATCGTCTCCTAACAGGGACAGTCCCTCTGTGTCAACTAATGAAGACAGCGACTTTGAAGACAGCTCGAGATGCAATGGGAAGAAGAGAGCAGCCAAGCGACCACCCAGAGCTGCCCCAGTGAGTCCCTTTTATTTAATTTGGAGTCTGGTTGCGGAATCAGCAAAGAAAAGTCTGGACGGGACTTAGGTGATGGGATGGAATAAAAGATAACATTAGGATGGAGAAGAGCAAGAATTCTTTAAAAAGAAAAAGGTTAGTAACAGACGATTTCACAGGAATAAAAAAGCAGCTACTTAAAATCCGAAACAATAATGGAAGCATACCTGTGGCAGCTTAAGGCTACTTAAGGCGACGATGATGAAGTCAGATGTTAGTGTCATCCTAACAGCTTTTGTATGTCACTTAATAGGTAGCAAAACATCGAAAGAAGCGGTCCCGAATAGTACCTGGTGGGCGTGGCAAGAAGGAATCAGTGCTGCTAACCAGTGATCTCTTTGACGCTGTGAAAGCTGCCAAAAGCGACATGCAGGTAGAGAAGTGTCTCACCTCTGCTCCTCTTCCTCTTGACATCAATAAGGAAGTTAATTATATTTCTAAATTGCATTGCCTAGAAAGTGTTTGCAAGTTTATAATTATAAAAGTTGAACTGTTGAAACGTATTTACTGAAACATTTTGACTTGCGTTAATGCTTTACAGTTTGCATTTATATTAAAAATTCACACACAAATGAAAATGGAAATCAGCTACCAATACCTGATTTCTGTCTCCTGTTTTTCTACTTACAATCATATACTTTTTGACAACATGGGGAAATATGTAGCATAGAACTATTGATAAGAAGAAGACTAGAAAATTCCTTCTTGGGAATGAAATGTTTCCCCTCACAGAGGATTTATCAGTGTGTTTCCCATGTGTAAGTCATACTACTGGATGTTTTTAGGTATAATTGTTACACGTTTGGCATAGACAGCACACAGGTTGGTATCTTCATGTAGGTCTCTGTTGCCTCTCAAAACACTGATAGCTATACTCTGACCAGACAGACACTTGAAAGGGAATTTTTGTGAATCAGAGACTCAGTGGACTTGTGATACTTCTACAGAGAGCCACAGCATCAGGCTTGTGGTGATGAGCTTTCCTCACCCTGGCAGTAGAGGGCAGACTGTGGCTAACAGTGTCTAGAGCTGGTTGCTGGGTGCTTTGCCATCTGGAATTTCAGACTGTCTGCTTTATACAGACCATACTCTTGAGACCTTGCTTTAGAAAGTGGTAACTGCAAGCTTCATCTCTGCGTTGTTTGATACAGGGTTTCTTAATGTATCCCTGGCTGGCCTGGAGCTCAGTGTACGTGTGCCACATATCAGACTCAGTTGTTTCCTGATACCATCTGATTCTTTATAGGATAAGAAGACAATAAGGATCAGAGTCTCCAAATCTAATTTGTTGTTGACATTTTACTTAGCATACCCAAACCAATAAAGGTAAGGCAGAGGAGAATGAATCCCACATGATAAGAAAAGAGCCCTCAGAAGAGAGTATCCCTTTCCTGAGGACCACAGAACAGGAGCAACTCTGCCTTTCTAGAAGACACAGGAAAGTCACTGGGTGGGCCAGAAAGAAGCCTAGATATTTGCTTCTTAAGCAGTTATATTAAATATTCCTCTGTCCCCACATTTATTGTTTATGTATTATTACATATCATTTAAAAGTGAATAAAACTTGGCAAGTCTGGTGGTAAATGCCTTTAATCTCAGTACTTGGGAGGCAGAGGCAGACATACCTCTGAGTTTGAGGCCAGCCTGGGCTGCACAGTAAGTTCCAGACCAGTTAGAAATATGTAGTGAGGGCCTATCTTTTAAAAAAATGTACAGGGACTGGAGAGATGGCTCAGAGGTTAAGAGCACTGGCTGCTCTTCCAGAGGACCTGAGTTCAATTCCCAGCAACATGGAGTCTCACAACCATCTATGATGAGATTTAGTGTCCTCATCTGACGTGCAGACAGAACACTGTATACATAATAAATAATAAATCTTTTTTAAAAAGTGTATAAAGCCTAAACATAGCTTAAAAGTTAAAACACTAAGCTGAGCATATAGCTCAGATGTACCATATTTGTCTAGCATATATAAGGCACTCCTACATTCTGTCCCCAGTATTAGAAAGAAAAATTACCCAAATTGCTAACCTTCAATTCAGAAAACAAGATGTTAATAGAGCTGAAGAGGCTTTATATATCTCTCCATCCTACTCAGTCCCTTAGTTCCTTTATCCAATAATTTCATGTTATTCTCTCGTA